ACAGGCCTGGTACCAGGCCACCTTTGCCGGACAGGCCTGGTATCACCCAGGCACCCTTTCTGGTGCCGGGATAGTCGCCAAACAGAAAAAGGTTTTCTCCCAAAAACGGTACCAGACAGAAAAAGAGACACCAAAAAGTAATTTTTGTGGTGCCGGCCAAACACAAAGAGGTACCTTTTTCTTGTTTCCCAGGCCTGTCAAGCCCAAAAACGTTCCTTGTTTTTGGTGCCGGGATGGTCGCCAAACGGAAAAAGGTAGCGTTTTGGTGTTTTCCCAGCCTCTCAAGTCCGAAAAAGATATATTTTTGGTGTCGGGATGTAAGCTACTTTTTGCGTGGTTTCTGTACTGTTATTTGGTGCCGGGAAACAGAAAAAGGTACATTTTTCGTGCGTTGCAGGCTTCTCAAGCCCAAACACGGTACCTTGTTTGGCGCCGGGATGGTCGGCAAACAGAAAACAGTAATTTGTTCCTGTGTTTTCCAAGTCTCTTAAGCCCCAAAAAGGTGCCTTTTTGGTGCCGGGAAACATAAAAAAGGTACCTTTTTCGTGTTTTCAAGCTTCTGAATCCCAATAAAGGTACCTTTTTTGGTGCCGGGATGAAAAAGATCGTTCTTCGAGGCTTCTCAAGCCCAAACAAGGTACCTTTTTTGGTGCCGGCAAATGGAAACAGGTACCTTTTTCGTGTTTTCCAGGCCTCTCAAGCTCTGCAAGCGGGCTCAAGTCCCGAGTTTGTCATTTGCCTCGCTCCCCACCCGGCATCGAGTTCATGGTCTGCAGCCCACGTCCGAAACTCAAAGCCCTCCACTCTCCAATGCTCCCCATTCACAGCTCCTCCCCCCAACCCTCCCCAGCCCTCCTCCGATGCTGCACCGACCCTCCCGCCCTTCCCAACCCCGCCAGCCCTCCAGCTCCACACACATTTTCCGCATGGGCCGGCCGCGCCCCTCACAAGGTAGTATGAGGTATCTGCTTAGTCTGTTTTTGTGTCCCCATATTTAAAAAGCGTCGCCGTGGCGTTGATGGGAATGAGCCAAACTAGCAAGCCTCGGACGGTCATCCCAAGCCTTTCCCCTCGAACCGGGAGCAAAGGTGCACCCCATCGTCATGTTCGTGGCCGTAGTCCTGTGTTGCACATACCTCTCATGGTTGGAAGGCACCTGCTGCACAGCTGTGTAAGATTCTGTAAGCATTCAAACTAAACGATGGGAGAAAGGGGTGCGACGGGGCGACTGACGACCTTGAAACTTAGCTACGCAGTCGTGCCGTTTCGAGCCATGCTCATAACAGCTTGTATGACTCCTTCAACATGAGGTCTGGCCAGCAGCCGTCCCTCCTTTCTCGTGTCGGATAACAACAACCTAGCTTCCTCTAGGCACATGGGCTTTTTGGGTACCATGATTACAGAGGTCCTGAGAAATACGTTCGACCGTCGTTCTGCAGACCCTAGGTCATCTTAAGCCAGCAAGGCATGGTCCCGAGCTGGAGGCAGCACCCCGTGTCGCTATGCCAGCCTCTTGGCTAGGGCTAGGGTTTTAGGCTAGTTTATATCGGCTTTAGGATTTAGGAGTTTCGGGTTTATGGTTTAGGGTTTCAGTTTCGAGTTGGAAGGCACACGAGCACATGCTCAACACTTTCGAACCACCTGGTCGCTGTGGGAGGCTCCAGACCACCTATATCGATCTCTGTCCTAATTCCTGCGAGTTTGCGAGGTTCATGATTGGCACCGTGGTGCTGCTGATCTTGCACTCCTGGCATCATGCTTCCGTGGTTCACACAGTCTGGGCTGCGGCAGAAAGGAGCCAGGCCAACGCACACAGCATGGAGCAACTTCGGTCCTTCAATGATGCTCGCATGCAACCGGAAAGTGTCGTGACCATGTTCAGAGACCTTGTCGAGCCAGCCTGAACATCGTGACCCGGACCGTGATATCATGTTTGCAGAAGGTCTCGAAGACATCAAGGAAAAGCTTCAGCTCTTCTTAAAGGAGTTTTGGAAGATTTTGTTAAAGCAAGTCCCATACCTCCCTAAACCCCAGGACATCCAAGACCCTCCAAGGACACCTCAAGTCGCGACGAGGACCGTGAACGAAGATCTTGGATGCAGCTCGTGCAGCTTCCATCCTCCGAGGGGGCGGCCGCGGCCAAGCCCATGCCGGCAAGAAGTTTGGCTTCCATCGCCGAGCCTCGCTGCTCTGATGGTGTTTTCGCTTTCAGTTTCTGTGCAGGCTATCTTTGGCAAGCTAGCGGACTCGGATCTTGGAAGCCAGTTCGAGAATCTTTTTCCTAACAACTGCAGCCTTCCTCGATGTGTTGTCTTTGTCTTTGTTGTTGTGCTTGTTGTTGTTGCTGCTGCTGCTGCTGCTGCTTGTGCAGTTGCTGTGGCCCTAGCTCCGGCCCTTGGCGCAGGCAGTGGCAGTGGCCGTTGTCGTTGCTACTGCTGTTGGTACTGCTGCTGTTGTTGTTGTTGTTGCTGTTGCTATGCCGCCATGCCCAGGGACTTATGCATGTCCAGTGTCTGGGCACAAATATTCTTGAAAGCCCCCGTGCCGAACAACAAAGACGACGATCTTAAACATTTGCTATTTCAGCAACTGCCCAACCTTCGCAAGTTTATAGACTTCACGACTTAACAGCACTCCCGGACTTTCGGGCCCTACTGACGCTTCGCTTGGAACGATCGTGAAACACGCGACGAACATCGCTGCGGGCCCCCAGGAAGAGCTCAAGATGTCGATGGCTTCTTCTTCGAGCCCGAGTATCGGCCCACTGGCCGACGAGGCATCGAACAAGTCTGGAGCGGGCAAGCGCGAGAGCAAGAGCGTTTGGGAGGATCACATCTTCCGGGTCTTGAAGTGGGAAAGCGAGGAAATGAGGTCCTGGAGGGTGCCATGACCGTGTCATGTAAAGTCACGTGAAGCATGAACAACTGCAAAGTCATGGATGAATACGAATACTAGAGAGTATTCTGATCGCCAGCAAGCCCACTGTTGGAATATTTGCTGTTGTATTATTTGAATGCTGCTAGGTTGGAGTCATGCATTCAATTCAAACTTGTGGTGCGAGTAATGGGCCACCACACCATGAACACCCAGGCAGCCAATACTTTACTAACCCTCAGCCATCCTCAGCCAATACTGATCATGCTCTTTAGTTTTTGTCGCGTTACTGACAACCTGTGGCTTCCACCCCAAGCCAACGAGAAACTTCGATCAGGGCCCACCTTCATGCAAACATCCAGTTGTTTTACACACTCGTGTAGCAACACAGAGTCCTAGAGAAGGCCGCAGCAGCCATTCACAAATAGTTTACTCTAGCCCTTCCTAAACGCTAAACCCTGGAATAGCCATCGTGTAGACTCCTTCGAAACCAGCGAAGTGTGCCTGTTACTCCAACCCTTGCAGCGCTTTAATTCCTGGTTTAGTCCTTACTTTACTCTGTTTATTCGCTTTCTAGACTTTCTCGATCTCTGTATAGAAGCAGACAAGCTCACCATCTGTCGGTATCACACCGACCTGCGACTATGGATCCTCGCCTGGCTAATCCGAGTTGTGAGAGCGTTAACCCTATACCTAGGCCCTATAAATCCTGAACCCCTCCGAAAGGGACTCCGATTTTTCAAGGCCGGCCAGGACTTGCCAGCGCTGCCTCTCGAAGTCGAAGGCCAGAGCGGCTCTGGAACCCTGCGCTTGCATCAGTTGTTTTGGCTTTGCATAAAAAAGGCGCCGGAATAATTAGAAGAGGGTCCGGGGTATATGGGGGACTCAAATTTAGCAGTATTTTTTCCTGCTTCTATATGAGGGGTTTATGGTTTTATCTGGATTCTGCAGTTATATGAGTTCTAGAAAGGATTTGGAGAATGTGAAGGTTTGGTGAGCTTTTAGCTTGACAGCTCGTGGTTTACTGCCACAGGGGCTTTTTTGTTGCATGTGAAGCGTTCTGATCATGGGCTTCCTGGACGTATGCAGCTGGCCCAACCGCACGAGGGGAATCGATTAATTACTTGGTGTCTGGGAAGACTCTCGGGAATCGAGAATGTCCTAGCAATCAGCGTCCCGAGCCTGTGAGCCAAACAGCCATTTTCGTATGTAGCCGGATGGGATATCGCACATCAAGTCAAAAAGTCAGTTGATGAGGCTTCAGACTCCAATTTGTCTTCATAGCTTGTGCGACGAGCCGACGGGGCAATATAAGGGCGGTGGACATGTGCAAGCACACAGAGGGAAATACTGAGAGTACGGCAGGTCCACAAACACCGAACTGCGTGATCTTTGCTTCCCGATCGCCACTAGCGTCCCTACCGTCCCTACAATACTCGGGTAGGCTCGTTACGTTGGATGGGTTCCCATGCAAAGGGCTACCACCATCAACGAGGCAAACATGGAACCTGGCTAGTCCGATCCAATGCTCGGCGGAGGTGCAGAGATGGCTTACAGGCCTCAGGCCTCTGTGGCCGTCCTTCGGCACGGCGAGCGCCAGGACGCTGCATCTTTGCTTGATACCCCCAGCCGTTTTACTAAGACACTGTACGTGTTCCATTTGTTCCCGAAAGCATCGCGAAGGGTTCTTCCGTGCGGAGCCTCGCAGAGAAAATACATAGAGAATACGTGGAGTCAAGTACACTTGACTTTACCACACTTGACTCTACGACACTTAGCTTTACCACACTTGAC